GTGCCAGGGATGAGGAAACGGCGGCGATGGCGGCGCGGCGAGTCGAAGCCGCAATATCGTCGGTAAAGACGCTGCCGGCCTCATCTCTAGCGAAGGAGATGGAAAGGGCCCTGGGGGTGATCGTGGAAGTGGCTACGAACTCTAGGAATCTGAAGGGAGGATGGGTCCGGGCGCTGAAGACGTCGGCGGCGTTGTTGGGAGAGGCCAAGGACGTCCTCCTGCAGAGGACCAGCGGGAAGGAAGCGGAAATCCTCCAAGCCCGGCTCGAGGAGGAGAAGCGCAAGAACGCGCTTCTCCAACAAGAGCTGGGGATGCTGAGGGACGGTCAGGCCCGCCTACGGGCGGACCTGGACAACCTCTCATCCCCAAGGGCAACGAGGACGGACAGAGAAGAAGGAGAATTTCGCGTGTCCCTGATGAGGGAAATCGGCGCAATGATGGACGCGAAGCTCCAGGGGATAGAGGGGCGCCTGATGCCTGAAAGGCGCCTCAGACCTCCCCTGGCATCGGACAAGACGCAGGCACCACCGACTAGAACACCTGCACCGGCCACGACTTCGTCAGAGGCCAGGCGGCCTGGTGCGGCGGACAACGGCACCAAGGCCAAAAAGGCCAAAGTCAAGGATACGACAACAAGACCTCTGCCCCTGCCGCCTCCTTCCAGGGAGGAGACATGGACAGAGGTAACCAAAAAGAAGAAAAAGGGAAAGAAGGCACAGGAGACAAGAAGAACACAAACTCGACAGCAGCCCAATACAGGGCGCAAGCAGTCTCGACCAAAGGGGCAGGCGAGGGAGGCCAGTCGGCGACCTCCGCCTAAAACCAAACTCAAAACGCCCAGGTCCGCAGCGGTGGTCATCACCCTCTCTGATGACGCCGCTGCAAAAGGAGTCACCTACGCCTCCATCCTCAAAGAGGCGCAGGCAAAAGTAGACCTAAAGGAGACGATCGGTATCGAATCGGTCAAGTTCCGCAGGGCCGTTACCGGAGCCACGATACTCCAAATACCGGGAGCTGGTAACGACCCGAAGGCGGACTTACTTGCTGATAAGCTGAGGGAGGCCGTCGGCGGTGACTGTATCCGCATCTCCAGGCCCGTCAAACTCATTGATATGAGAGTCACGGACCTGGCGGACTGTGTCACCGCTGAAGACCTCGCCAATGCCATCGTCTCCAAGATGGAGTGTGCCGCGGCGCAAGTGAAAGTGGGCAAAATTCGCCAGGATAGGTCAGGCCTCTTCGCAACATGGGTACAAGTGCCCGTCACCGTTGCGAAGAGACTGGCAAACGAGAAGATCCTGCTGGGGTGGACGGTGCCCAAATTCGCCATCGGGGCACCCAGAGAACTCCGATGTTACAGGTGCCTACAGGCGGGCCATGTGGCACGGCACTGCAAGGAGGAAGACCGCAGCCGTCTGTGTTACAGGTGTGGCAAACCCGATCACATCGCTGGGGAATGCAAGGAGAAGGCACACTGTGTGGTCTGCGCATCCCACAGCAAGAATGCCAACCATCGCTTGGGAGGTCCAAAATGCTCGGCCCCCAAGAAACGTATACCAAGAAGAGCTATCGCCATGACATCGGCGGCGTCCCAACCGAGCGGGGACCAAATGGAAGTTACGATCGTGGGACATCAATAGGATGAAACACAAAGTTCTACAGGCGAACTTAAACCACTGCGCCAGAGCTCAGGACCTGTTCGTCCAAAGCTTAGCGCAGTGGTCATGTCATCTCGGACTTATCACAGAACCATATTACGTCCTGGATAGATCCGACTGGATTGGGGACTTAGACGGATTAGTGGCAATCGTCCTGAACAACAACATCAGCGACACACCTCCAGTCAGACTATCTAGGGCGGGCAACGGCTGCGTTGGGGTCAAACTTCGCAACACGCTGATAGTGGGAGCCTACTGCTCCCCTAACATAACCCTGGCGGAGTTTGAGGCCTACTTGGGGGGAGTGGCCTCCATCATAACCGGATTCAACTGTCCCCACGTCATCTTGGCGGGTGATCTCAACGCCAAAGCTGCAGCCTGGGGCTCGGCCACTACGGACGGAAGAGGAGAGGCGCTTCTTGAATTCCTGGCCTCACATGATCTAGTGCCCATGAACAGGGGCACAGAATTAACTTGCGTGCGCATGGGCGGGGGTTCCGTGGTAGACGTTACCTTCGCGAGCTCCTCCATTGTCAGCCGAATCCAAGGCTGGGAGGTACTGACCGATGTGGAGACCCTTTCAGACCACCGGTATATACGGTGGAACGTCCTCCCATCAGCAGATGCTCCGAACAGCCTAAGACGCGGCCCGCCGGAGTTTGGGCCCAGGTGGTCCTTAAAGTCTCTAAAAAAGGACGACCTGGAGTTGGCATCGCTCATCACGGCTTGGTGTCCCAAACCCGACGAGCCATCATCGGAGAGCGAAGCGAACTGGCTGGCTGAAGCCTTGGAACATGTCTCCGACTGTTCCATGACTCGAATCCGCGCTAGACCGCCTCGAAAACAGGTGTACTGGTGGTCGAGTGAACTTACGCTACTGCGCAGAGCATGCGTGACCGCGCGTCGCCAGTACACCCGTCACAGACGAAGGCGAGCACTGGACGATCCCGGAGAAGAGGATCGGCTGTACGAGGTCTACAGAGAGGCGAGAAGGACCCTAAAAAGGGAGATCGCCGCTGCAAAGGAGAGGGCATGGACAGAGTTCCTCGAGACCCTGGAACAGGACCCTTGGGGACGGCCATATAAGCTCATAATGAGCAGGCTGCGCCCCTGGTCCCCTCCGCTCACTTCCACCTTAGAGCCGGAGTTCCTATCTCGAGTGGTCTCTGTCCTGTTTCCATCCGCCCCTCCCCCCTCGAGCAGTGCATGGACAGACGCCGTTACTGCGACAACACCCAATGATGTCCCAGCGGTGACTGAGGGTGAAATGTTGCTCGCTGTAAACAAACTGCAGGGCAAAAGAACAGCCCCGGGTCCCGACGGGATTCACGGAAGAGTGCTGGCTCTTGCTCTGAAGAACGGAATTGGCAAGAGGTTTTCGGAACTATTAACCCGATGCCTGACTGAGGGACGTTTTCCCTCCCGCTGGAAGACAGGCAGGCTCGTGCTCTTGAAGAAGTCGGGCAGACAGGCGGACTCTCCGTCTGCGTACAGACCCATTGTGCTCCTTGACGAGGTTGGCAAATTCCTTGAAAGGATTATCGCCGACCGCATCAACAGGCACCTTGCCGCGGACGGACCGGAATTAGACGACGCGCAGTTCGGGTTTCGGCGCTCGAGATCCACTATCGACGCCTTAGCCCGTCTGCGCCTTATCACGGACGAGACAACTTCACAGGGGGGAATTGTATTGGCGGTGTCATTAGACATCGCCAATGCATTTAACACCCTCCCCTGGGATTCTATACTTGAGGGACTCGAATACCATCGTGTCCCCAAGTATTTGCAACGAATCATCATCGACTATTTCAGGGGAAGAAAGATCGCCTTCCCTGGCCAGACGAGCTGGCAGGAGCACGGGGTCTCGTGCGGAGTTCCACAAGGGTCTGTCCTAGGACCACTCTTGTGGAACATAGGCTATAACTGGGTGCTAAGGGCAGCGCTGTGTAGTGGTGTGCAAGTCATTTGCTACGCCGACGACACGCTGGTCGTAGCATCCGGCAAAGACCTAAGAGAAGTCAGTCTCAAGGCTACGGCGGGAGTGGCGCAGGTCGTCGCCCGAATTCGTCGGCTGGGCCTGACCGTAGCCCTTGAGAAGTCGGAGGCTATCTGCTTCCCTGGTTCCAGACGGGCCCCACCCTCTGGAACAAGGATAATAGTCGGGGGCGCCCCGATTGAGGTGAAGACGACCATCAAATACCTAGGACTTGTCCTGGATGGTCGATGGTCCTTTAGGGCTCACTTCGCCGCTCTTGCTCCTAAATTGGACAAGACGGCGGCAGCTCTTGGTCGTCTTCTACCAAACATCGGCGGCCCAAGCGAGAAACGGCGCCGGTTATTCGCCGGCGTGGTGAGATCGGTGGCCTTATACGGGTCACCCATTTGGAGCGATGAGGCTCGGCACCTTGCAACTAATAAGGCGATTCTTCGTCGGTCGCAGCGCACCATAGCCATTAGGGTGGCGAGGGCTTACCGCACAGTGTCTTGCGACGCTGTGTGTGTGATAGCCGGACTCCCACCCTGGTACCTGGATGCCGCTGCATTGGCGGAGATCTACTGGCGCCGTGCTGACCTCAAAAGAGTCGGAACCGAGCCATCACAGGACCAGCTCAGGTCCTGGCGAGCTGAGACCCAGGACTGGGTGCTCGCCAAATGGCAGGAGGAGCTAGCTCTGTCAAGAGTCGGCTCATGGACGCTGGACGCCTTCCGACCTATTCTCAAGGACTGGACGAGGCGGCGGTGGGGAGCTCCCTCTTATTGGCTGGTTCAGTTACTGACCGGCCATGGCTGTTTTGGAAAATACCTTTTCAAAATAGCCAGAAGAGAGGAGTCACCCGCCTGCCACCACTGTGACTGCGCTATTGATACAGCCAGTCACACCCTATTTGACTGCCCGGCATGGGCAAACGACAGATTGCCCATAGCCGGCCTATTCACCGGACACGACAGATCGCTGGCGCACATCGCGCAGCGCATCACCCAAAAGAAGGAACTCTGGGAGGCTCTCAACGTCTTCGCAGAGTCCATCATGAAACGGAAGGAGACGGCCGAAAGGGAGAGGGAAGTCGACCCTGCGGCCACTCAGGCGAGGCGTCGAAGACCCGGAGGGCGGCGGCGAAGATACGCCGGTCGCATCCCGTAGTTAAGGTGTAAATAAATTAAGGTGTAAATAAATTAATTATTATAAACATGTATATATATATATATTTATACGTTTTGTTTAGTTTTAGTTTAATGCATTATTTTTAGTTTGTAGGTTTTCATTCGTCCCTTTATTGAGGGACGAATAGAACGTGTGTGTCTATTTATACTTTTTTAGAATAATAGCACACAACAAGCAGACGGCAACAGCAGGAGAGCCGCGCGTCAATGACGCTGAGCGGCGGACGTACGTCGAAGCCCGGAGCAATGGACACACCAGTCACCGGACTTCGGCTACTACGAAAGGATTGGGCCTTGGAGGTTTAGTGGGTAGTGGCCGAACGCCTTTAGGTCGAGCCCCACACACCCCCGTGTCACTAAATTTGCCCAGGCACGGGAAGTCCGTAATAGGATTCCTCCAAGTAAAAAAAAAAAAAAAAAAAAAAAAAAAAAAAGGTTAGGTTAGGTTAGGTTAGGTTAGGTTAGGTTAGGTTAGGTTAGGTTAGGTTAGGTTAGGTTAGGTTAGGTTAGGTTAGGTTAGGTTAGGTTAGGTTAGGTTAGGTTAGGTTAGGTTAGGTTAGGTTAGGTTAGGTTAGGTTAGGTTAGGTTAGGTTAGGTTAGGTTTAGGTTAGGTTAGGTTAGGTTAGGTTAGGTTAGGTTAGGTTAGGTTAGGTTAGGTTAGGTTAGGTTAGGTTAGGTTAGGTTAGGTTAGGTTAGGGTTAGGTTAGGTTAGGTTAGGTTAGTTAGGTTAGGTTAGGTTAGGTTAGGTTAGGTTAGGTTAGGTTAGGTTAGGTTAGGTTAGGTTAGGTTAGGTTAGGTTAGGTTAGGTAAGTTAGGTTAGGTTAGGTTAGGTTAGGTTAGGTTAGGTTAGGTTAGGTTAGGTTAGGTTAGGTTAGGTTAGGTTAGGTTAGGTTAGGTTAGGTTAGGTTAGGTTAGGTTAGGTTAGGTTAGGTTAGGTTAGGTTAGGTTAGGTTAGGTTAGGTTAGGTTTTAGGTTAGGTTTTAGGTTAGGTTAGGTTAGGTTTTTTAGGTTAGTTAGGTTAGGTTTTTTTTTTTTTTTTTTTTTTTTTTTTTTTTTTTTTTTTTTTTTTTTTTTTTTTTTTTTTTTTTTTTTTTTTTTTTTTTTTTTTTTTGCTCCCTCTGACGTGGTCAGAGACCTTGTTTACAATTGTTTGTTAAAATCCTTACATACAAGTTCTCGCACTCATGATGGCCTTTCATACTTCATACTAAATCTTTCTTTCATCCATCCCTTTCATACCTCTGACCAGTGTGTATCTTTCTATCTATCTTTTTGTCTATTTTCTATTTCTTATAGCTAAGGGGGAGTAGACACAATCAGTTTTATTTATTTTGTTCCAACAGACATAAAATTTCAATTTACAATATAATGCAAAATTATATACATCTAAATTTAAAAACTATCATGGTATAATATAAAATAATATAGATGATTCGCTAAAATTATATAATTAACTTAGCTGTTGGATACATTATTAGTCATTACAAAATCTTAAGCTAATATAATTAAAATAGTTAAACCTAAGTACATAGCCAACATTCAAAGTGCCAATAATTAATAGAATTCCAGTTATAATAAATAAGATTAAAATGTTAAAAAAGTTAAAAGTTAATAAATTAAATAAGTTAAGTTAAAAATTTAAAATTGTTAAAATGTTAAAAACGGTGCAATCACCTCCTTGTTTTGTTTCTATCGTTTGCAATTTTCACTAGTTTCATACAAAACCGTTCTAGGTGCGGCCTGGAGTGCTCATCTGCGATGAGTTTCGCGATGTTATTCTCGTTAATTGAAATCCCAGTACTTATTTCCAGGTCGCACCTATCGCGGTCATGCACAGGACATTCGAAGAGGAGGTGTTGCACCGTTTCGGCCACCTCAGGATCGCACACACATGATGGACTATCTTTGAGCTTAAATCTAAAAAGATAAGCCGCGAAACCTCCATGCCCCGTCAGCACTTGCGCCCACCCTGACGTCTTGTCGAGGCACCTCGTCGTCCGATAAGCGCACCATGCATCAGGGAAGAACATGCGTGTAACCTCCGCCGCAGCTCCTTCGGTGTACCTCCTGTTCCAGCGCCGGACCGCGCCCTCTCTCAATCGTCGTTTGACATATGAGATCGGACACCTGTCATAGGCCGGGGCAACCCTCGACTTGGCCGCCAGCCTAGCCAACTCGTCGGCGCGCTCATTGCCGGGTATCCCGACGTGAGCCTTCACCCAACAGAACCGGAGAGTTTTACCTCTCCCCTGCAACTCCCTGATATTCTGCCGAATATGGGTAGCGAGGGGATGGTGCGTATCCGGGTTACGGATCAAATCGAGTGAGGAACGGGAGTCGCTTAGCACCGCCGCATCGTCGAAGTTCCTCTCGACAACCAGGTCCGTAGCCCTAGCTATCGCGAGCAACTCCGCCTGAAAGACGGTGCACACCTTCTCCAGCCTCAACCGCTTCGTCCGAACCTCAACCCCATCCCGCCAGTAAGTGTATGCCGCCCCGACCCCGTCATCCGACTTACTACCGTCGGTGTAAAATCAGATGCGCGGGAAGGTGTAGCTCTGCTACATGTTCGGGGAGCATACTGTCCAAACAAACGTAACTTACGTCTGGCTCACTGGCGGGATGAGGAGCCTCCGTAAAGGCCACACGCCCCTCCAGTTCGCGGGAGTCCAGCTCGTCGATCGGGCGTCCCCGTTTGCTCTCGAACAACCGGGCACCTCCCATACCCGAAGATCGAGCGGGAGGAGACCGGCCAGCGTGAGCGCTGCGTTGAGCGACACCGTACGATGTGACTTAGCAATCTTCTGTGCAAATCCCCTCTGGACGGTAGCAAAGGACCTTTGCACAGAGATCTTTTCGGCGGCCTTCGCCCAGGAACTCGCGCCGTACAAGATGGTCGGTTCTACGACCGCGGTATATATCGTCCTGATGATCTCCGAATTCAGGCCCCACTCCACCCGAGCCATCGTTGACAGTTTCCTATACAGGCCAGTCGCCTTACGACATGCGTAGGCAATGTGGCTATTGAAAGTTAGTTTACTGTCCACGATGACCCCGAGGATCTTGAGTTCGGTAACCATCGAGATGTCAACCCCGCCCAGCTGTACAAATGGAGTGTCATACTTAAGCTTGCGCGTGACGACCATGGCCTGAGTTTTTTTCGGCGGAGAAGCGCAGCTTATTCATGACACCCCACTCCCGCGCTACAGCCAGGGCGGCATTGGCATCCCGCTGGATATCGAGTGCCGTGTGCCCAGAGAACACCAACACGATATCATCCGCAAACGCTTGCACGTACGCGCCCAGCCTATCCAGGTTATCCAGGAGGGGGTCCAGCAGCATGTTCCAAAACAGGGGTCCACCTATGGAGCCTTGGACACAGCCTTTGGTCTGTGGTTTCCGCACGGTCCTTCCCGCGTAGTGCACGGCGACGCTTCGGTCTCTGAAGTAATCCTCAACAAGACGCCTTAGGTTTACGGGAATACCTTTCTCAATCATTCTACACTTTATGGCCGGCCACCACGCGTTGTCAAACGCCCCCTCGATGTCGAGAGAGACCATGAGGGCGGTCTCTTTCCTGGAAAGAACACCTCTGACGTGCTGCATCAGGTCATACAGCGTGTCCTCCGTGCTCCGCTGCGGTGTGAAGCCGTACTGCCTTGCATTGGACTTGGGCAAGACGTGCCATCGGATTCGACGACACAGAATTTTCTCGAAGATCTTGCCCAAGACGGAAAGGAGTCCAATGGGGCGGTACGACTTTGCGCGGGCATAGTCTTGTCGAGCCGGTTTCCTGAGCACCACGACAGAAGCCTCCTTCCACGGCGCTGGGAAGCACGCCAGGTCAAGACATCGGTTCAGAATGGTCAGGAACAGCTGTTCGCCCGCGCATATGGCGTGCCAGCATATGTCGCTGGTGAATCCATCCTGACCCGGTGCCTTTTTAGGGTTGAAGCTGCGCAGCGTCCGAACCAGTTCACCCCGGGTGATCGGGGGATCATCGGTATCATCAGGTAAGCGTACGCCGACCAGGTCCGCTCGGCTTCGGACGACGGCATGGACTTCAGAGTCTGTGCCGTCGTCGTCTTCGGCGAAGAATGTCCTGGCCAGCAACGCCACCGACTGCTCCGGGCTCTGCACAACTCCTCCCTCCACGAGAAGCTGGTCCTCGCGGTGACCCGACGCTCTCCTCAGTACCCGGTAGATACCATCCCACATAGACTCCCGCTCTTGCACCGAGGTAAAAGCCTTCCATCCCTCCGTTTGAGCGTTGACAACCCTCCGTTCATACTCCGCCTTGGCTATCAGGTATTCGTCAACCACACATTCTCTGCGACGCGGCGCCGCACATCGGATCCTGCGGCGTTTCGTGTTAACATCACGACGCAGCCTTTCAAGCTCATCGTTCCACCAAGGAAAGCGTTTTTTACGTTTGGGGGGTTTTGGGGGGGGTATGGCTTTAGTGCACGCCTCCTCCACGCACTCTATGTACTGGGTTACCGCCGTTTCTAGTTGGTTTCGGTCGGTAACCCTTTCAATGGCCTCCGGGGTGAGGCCCCTTTCTGCCAACCCTCTACGCATTTCCTCGGCGAAACGACCCCATTCAGCCTTCCGGGTGTTGAAACGTCGAGTAGTCCACCGAGCGTTGCCCCCAGGCGGAACCCTGAGACCCAGAACCACACGTATTGCTCTGTGATCCGAGCTGGTCACGGAGTCGTCCACTTTCCACTCACGGACGCTTCTCAACAACCCGTGGGTACAGACGGTAACATCGACATGACTCGTGTACCTCCTGCCCCCACGGATCGTATCGAAGGTGGGGACGTCTCCTCTGTTCAATACGTGCAGCTCTAGGTCATCAAAGAACCCCCTGAGGGTCTCGCCCCTTGTGTCCTCCTCGACGCTACCCCACCACGGACTCCATGCATTCCAATCGCCACCCACAAGGATCCTGTTGGTGCCGACCTTCCCCATGAACTCTCGTAGCTGGACCAGGTATGGTTCGATATCCTCCGTGCCCTCGAGGTATACAGAGACGACCGCCACGGTCCAATCTCCCGTCTTGAGAACCGCAGCCACGATATTCTCTGTGACTATCTGAGGGTTCACATGAACCTCCAGGTCGTCATGGAAGACCATGACCGCGGCCTTGACGGGTTTGGTCCTAGCGTCCTCCCTCT